ATGTTGTCCTGAATGTTGTCCTGAGCGGTCGGTTGAGCGGTCGGTTGAGTGCTCCAACAAAACTCTTCGGAAGGGGACGAAAGTGTGGCCATTACCGTAGACGTTTTCCTGGTAGACCTCGTCGGCAATGACGGCGAGATTTCGTCGTTGTGCATAGCATAAAATGCTCAGCACGTCCTGTTCTGTAAGGACGGTGGGTGCAGGGTTCCCCGGGGCTATGACGACAATAGCTTTAACATTTTTGCCCTTATCTCGGGCTTTGCAATAGGCATCGTCAATAGCCTGAACGGTGCATCTCCAGCCGTTGTCTTCATCAAGATGGTAGTACTCCGTATGTCCGTTCAATCTGGTCATGGTCGCAGAGTAAAGAGGGTACTGGGGAAGCGGCAATAGTATTGCATCATCAGGACCACCAACCAGACATGACAGGATGGTACAAATAGCGTCACTGGCTCCATTTGTCAAGAACAAAGTATCAGGATCCGCAGCGAAGCCATCGCGTCGTTCAAAGAATCCAGATATCTCTTCTCGCAAACATCTCGCCCCCTGCGAATGTGTAAGCCCCCGGGTCACCCATTGCACGCCGGTATGCCCTTGCCCGATGCAAGCTATCACTGTGATACACTTGTAACAACGCATGCTCCACACGATTGTCCATCAACTTGGGACATGTTATCAACGATACTACCTCCCGAATGTAAGTCAACGCCGGCTGCCCCACCGCGTGCGGATTACCAATGTGCAACCGCAACAATTGATCAAACTCTAAAAAAAACGTGTGTGTCCCGTACGTGTGTCCGGTACGTGTGTCCGGTACGTATGTCCGGTACGTATGTCCGTACGTGTGTATGGCATCTCCCGTACGTGTGTATGGCGGGTGTCTATCGCACTCACGTGTGCCTTTAGCAGTAGGTCTGTATTGCACACGTACGCGTGTAGGGTACACGTGTGTTTGTTACTTACTGAAGTCCTTGATTGACTTCTCTATTTCGTAGGCACGATCTAACACCTTACCACGAACGTTGTACTGCATGTTGCGCACACAGTCCGGCACCGCTTCCACGCTAAAAGGGGCCGCCCGCGCCTCCCCTGGATTGTCTTTGTCATCATGCAACTCATACAACATTTTTATTGACTCCTTATTTCCCCATCCCTGACCATGCCTT